ACGAAGTTATACGACGGGGTGTGACGTTCTGCTGCTGCCGCGGCGGCGTGGCCGGCGCGGCCGGGGGCGCCGTCTCTCCCGCCCCGCTGCTCACAGGCTTGTCGCCCGGGCGATCGAAGCCGGCGGCCAGGCGGAAGCCGCCCTCTGCGCTCTCGCTGGTGCTGGACTGCGCGGCGGACTTGATGGCAAAGACCTGCGGTGCCGCCGGTGCCGGCAGGGGCGCGGCCGTCGCCTGGGCCGGCGCGGGGGCGGCGGGTGCGGGGCTCGCTGCGGCGGGCGTCTGCGCGGGCGCAGCACGCCCGCCGCTGGCCAGCCAGGGGTGGCGGGAGATGTCCTGGAGCGAGATGCGTCGCTCCGGGGAGATGGTGAGCATGGCGTGGATGAGGCTGGCGCAGGCGGGGCTCAGGCGGCGCGGCAGCGGGCGCATGCGCCCGCGCATGATGTTCTGCAGCGTGGCCACCACGTTCTGGGGGTGGAGCGGGTCCTCGAATGGGTACTGCCCCGTGACCAAGAGGTAGAGCAGGACGCCCAGGGCCCAGATGTCGGAGGCACGGGCGTCATACCGCCCCGTCCGCCGCTCGTACAGCGTCTGCACGCTGCCGTTGCCCAGCAGCTCCGGCGCCATGTAGTCCGGCGTGCCCACGCCCAGCGTCACCGCCGATGCCTGGTGCTTGGACAGGCCAAAGTCGATGATCTTGACGGCGCGCGCCGCGCGGTCGATCATCACGTTCTCCGGCTTCAGGTCGCGGTGGCAGAGGCCGCGCTCGTGGATGAAAGTCACGCCGCGCAGGAGCTGGCCAAAGTAGAAGGCCGCGTCGGCCTCGCTCAGCCGCCCACCGCACTCATTCAGCAGGTCCAGCAGGTCGGGGCCGCGAATCAGCTCCCACACGATCACCACGTGCTCCGCCTCGGCAAAAAAGTCCAGCAGCTTGACCACGTTCTCGTGCTGCACGGACGCCGTGTACTCGATCTGGGGAGGGGTTGTTTGGAGGAGGGGGGGGGGGGTGAGGGTGAGTAATTGGGTGGGAGACGATGGAGTTAAATATTGGTAGAAAACACCTTTAATCATTTGGCATGTACTTGCATAGCATGCTGCAAATTCCAGGCTTGAGGCGTGATGAAGTCCGATGGAGGGGGCTACCCAAAGACACCCTTCATCAACCCCTCATCGCTACACCACCGACACACACCTCGCGCTTGACGCCCTTGATCGGCATGGTGGCACGCCCATCCTTCACGGTCATGACCTGCACCAGAATGAGTAGAGTGCATTAGAAACTTGTTGGCATACGCGTCACACCATGCGCACGTCACCCCGTGCCTCACAAGATCCCGGAGCCCTTCGTGGGTGCAGCTGCGGGCCCTTCCCGTACGGAAGCCTCACCTTGAGGGCGACATGCTCGCCGCTAGGCAGGGTCTCACACTCGTATACAACAGCTGTGCCGCCCCTGTTGACCTCCTTGACGACCCTGTAACGGCCGTTGCCCAGCAGGGTTCCGGGAGCAAGAGTGGCCATGCCGTCCGGGTTCCGCTAGGCGACGAGAGCTGCTCGAACCAGGGCAGCTGGATGTCGTGGTAATCCGCAAGTTTGGAGAAACACACCTCGAGTGGAAATGAAATGGTGATTTGCAGGTCCTGGCTGGCTGCCTGTATTGGCTCTCGGGAGCCTTGTACATCGGTGGATCGAGCGTATGTGCCCATCTCCGAACCGGAGGAGCTGCGCTCGAGGCACGACGAAGAGGCTGCGATGGCCATGATCATCGCCCCACCCACTGAGCAATTGGACGAATATGATCTCAGCCATGAAAGCAGTACAAGTAGGAGGCAATGTAGCTGAGCCGAGGCAGCACGAGCCGCTCAGCCTCGACCGACCTCCGCGCGATCGGATCTGCGGAGTCATGACAGCACGCGCAGCATGAACCCTTGTGTGCGATCTCAGGAAGGAGTGAGCGCCCATTCTAGGGGGAGCTGCAGTGGGTCCTGCAGACCTTTTTGACACAAGTTGTCTACAAGGAACCCCCAGCGCCCTACCTGATGCAACATTATCGTCCGCTTCGGAATTCTCCCATCGCACCCTGCCAGGGTTCCGGATCGTTGTGAAACTGTGAAGGCTAAGCGGACAGCCTCGTAGCTTGCGTCACACGCATCACGAGAGGAATATGAGATTCTGATCCCGGAAGATTTCCTGTACAGGGCCCTTTGGCCCGTCGACTTGGGTGTGCACCGGTATGCTGCGCCGGTGCCGGACCTTGCAGCCCGTCTTCTGGGCGGCATGTCCTGCACCAGTCGCGGCATGCTACTCGGCGCTACCGCAGCCGACGGAGGGGGAGTGTAGGCCCGCCACCACCCACGATGGGGACCAGTCCGCCCAGGAACATGGCCCTCCTGGCGCTGGTCATGCCCTCGCCGCCCCGCCTCCTTCCAAGCTGGGACCCCGGCCATCCGCAAAGGAGGCCCGCGAGGAGCTAAGGCGCTTTGCGGGGTCGCCCCGCCCCTCGCCCGAATGGCGGGAGCTGGTGCGACTGTCCCACGCCGCACTTCAACCTCCTGGCCAGGCGAATCCCACCATGCTCACCGACAGCTTCGGCCGGGTGCACAGCTACCTCCGCATCTCCCTGACAGAGCGCTGCAACCTGCGCTGCCTGTACTGCATGCCCGACGAGGGCGTGGAGCTCACGCCGGCCTTGCACCTGCTCAGCAGCGAGGAGATCCTGCGCCTGGTGTGTGGTGGGGATCATTTGGCCGGGTGACTGTGCTCCCTGGAGCCTTTGGGCCTTGCCTGCTCAGAATCCGCCAATCCCCCCCGCTGCCGCTGCACACGATGCACATGCACACGTGCACACGCGTCGCACTTCCATTTCGCAATCAGGCGCGGCTCTTCGTGTCCGCCGGCGTGGACAAGATCCGGCTGACGGGCGGGGAGCCGACGCTGCGCAAGGACCTGGTGCGGCTCGTGGCCTCGCTCTCTGCCCTGCCCGGGCTGGCCTCCATCGGCATCACCACCAACGGCCTCACGCTGGGCCGCCAGCTGGCGGCACTGCGCTCCGCGGGCCTGACCCACCTCAACATCTCGCTGGACACCCTGCGGCCAGACAGGTTCGTGACCCTGACGAGGCGGCAGGGCCATGCGCGGGTCCTGGCATCCATCCAGGAGGCCATCGCACAGGGGTATGACCCAGGTATGTGTGGTTTGAGCAAGGTGATGGGGTGGGGTCTTGAGATGCATGCCAGCAGCTGGAGCCTGTAGAACTGTGGTCATGTGCAGGCTTGGAAGATGTATCCCACGCCTTGCTGCCCATCGCGGCTGAGCCCAAGCTGGCTTGATGTTTGAGATCTCAGTATCCATACCTCCCTCATATCTACCTGGCCACAGTGAAAGTGAATGTGGTGGTGATGCGAGGGGTCAACGACGATGAGATCGCTGACTTTGTGGAGATGACGAGGCATGCGCCCATCAACGTGAGCTGGGGTCCAGGATGGCATTACAAGGCCTTCATGCTGTGCCTGTCCTGCAGTGGGCTTTGCAGGAATGAAATGTGCAGGTTGGAAGAAGGAGGCAGTCTATGCCTTCCACTCACCCTCCAACTTCCCTCCACATCTGGCGCCGATGGCAGGTGCGTTTCATCGAGTACATGCCCTTTGATGGCAATGTCTGGTCTGACAAGAAGATGGTGACGTACAGGGAGATGCGGGGGGCCGTTGAGGCGGAATTCGGGCCGCTGGAGCCCATCCTCTCCCCGGCGGGCGAGGTGGCTCGCAATTTTCGGTGCCAGGGTTTCACAGGCTCGGTGTCTTTCATCACTTCCATGACCAAGGCGTTTTGCAGCGACTGCAACCGACTGCGCCTGATGGCGGATGGGAACCTCAAGGTCTGCCTCTTTGGCGCCAATGAGGTCTCCCTTAGGTATGTGGTGGCATGAGGAGGGAAAGGGAGGTGTGGCGGGGATATTGCTGGTATGTGCGAGTCACTGTCATGGCATAGTAGGTGCTTGGAAGCCTCTTGGGCGTTAGGCAGACCTTGGTCTTGGGCCTCCTTGCATGCTGCTTGCCCAGGCTCAAGAATGACAGGTACTATGGGTAGCACGAGAGAAGCAGCCCTTGCTCATCTCCCAAACCTGTTCACTCACTGGGCAGGGATGCTATGCGGGAGGGTGCGTCAGAGGAGGACCTGGCGGCCGTCATCTCTGCTGCGGTGTACAGGAAGAAGGCTGCGCACGCGGGCATGTTCGAGCTGGCCGCCACAGCCAATCGGGCCATGGTGAAAATTGGGGGCTGAGGGTCCAGCCAGGCGCATTTGCCTGTACATGCCCCCTATGTTGATGTCCTTGCCAGTCAGTCGCCCAGCTGACGGCAGCTTCGGTTTGCAGTCCGAGCATCAACTTTCCCGCTAGCTCATCGTGAATGAAGACATAGCAGGTGCTTCCCCGTGTCCCCATGATGCTGTCTGTGCACATGAACTCGTGTCAAGCAGAACAAGCGGCCCTGCATGCTGCCTGCCAGCGTAGACGCACAGCAGTACAGGCGGCCAGGGCCACTCGCCGCAGGCCTCACTCCTGCACGCCCATGATGTCGTGCGGCTTGAAGAGGGCCTTGAAGGCCTCCGACCGCCGCCGCTCCTCCTCCACGGGGACGGCGCACGCCTTCCACTCGGCCCGATCGGGCACCCCCGCCAGCTCGGCCAGGACCTCCCGCCCATAGTTCAGGGGGTGGCGCTCGCCAAAGGCTATGGGATGCACGAGGGAGGAGCCATCTGGGAGGAAAGCCTGGAAGTACTCGCCATCCCCCACCACGTCCCGCAGCGCGGCTCGTGCAGCCTCGCCGGCGGCAGCGGGGACGTGGGTGAGGCTGAACCCCGCAGCCTTTGCCCGGTCCTCGAAGACCTGGCGGTGTTGGTGTGAGGGTATGGGGGGAGGGGGCGGGTGACGTGGCCTCGAGCTGTCGCTGCAGGTGCCACATGGGAGCTCGACTCGAGGCGGCATCACTCGAGAAGTGCACGCTGCCCCGCGGATGCTGCGACTCAGGGAGAGCGGTGGACTCGCACCCCTCGCACAGACCCCGTCCGACAGAGGAGTGCCGGGGCGCCCAATCACCACCCAGCCTCCTGCACACCTCCCTGTGGCCCGCACAAGCGCGCCCCCCATCCCCGCGCACCTGGCGAGCCCTGGCCGCGGCCTCGGCGCTGACGGCCAGGGCGTTGATGTGGCAGTGGTTGCCCCCGCTCTTCCTCAGAGCCATGTACCGCTCGAAGCCCACCAGCTGCCGGCCGCCTGCCGCTGCACACCTGTCGAGCGCGCCCCAGTACCTGGGAGGGCGGAGTGGGGTTTGTTGTGGTGCAGTGGGTCCTCCTCGGAGCGATGGAGCAAAGTTACGCTACGTCCCAAGACCAGGCGACCAAGAACCCATGAAGCCCACCTCCTGATCTCGGCATAGCAGTCGATGCTGAGCGACTGGCTGCTGGGGAAGTGCTCCACGCTGACGACAAGGACATGCTCGTCGGTGATGGCGCCCTTGTCGACGGCCACGTAGGACTCCTCTCCTTGAAAAGGGTGGATGTTTGACGTTTTCTCATATGTGGCCGCAGGGCACAGAAAGAGGCATCCGCACAGCCTTCACGGTGGTCTGCATCAAAGGAATTCTAGATGCCCTGTCCTGCTTTCCACGGATTCCTGAAATAGCACATGGGGCAGCTCACCAACGCTGACCACCAGGTCTATGTCTGCATTGGCGTTGGAGAGGCAGAACCAGCAGCCCTCCACGGGCTTCCCGGTTCCGGCCCTGGGGCCGGTGGCGGCGGCGTCGATTCCCAGCTGTCGCCCCATGAGCTCTGTGCAGGAGGAGATTGGCGGGTGTTACCAGCTGGACATCCAATGGCAGGGGCAGACTACCGTGTCCCGATGGCTGGGTCCACAGAAAGCGCATATGAGTGCCATGTGTAAAACGAACATGCGCAGAAACTCCCAACGATACCAGAGAAGGGTTGGGCCATGCGCAGTGCGGATCCTGCTTACCGGATCCATTGAGCTGGCATGCCTTCTCCATGCCCTCCTTCGTGTCAAACTGGATGTGGCACCATGTGTTGAGCCGCCCTGCGTTGTATGGTGGTACATCCGTGCGATGAGTCAGGCACAGCACTGGACTGCGGGGATGATCATGTTCTCCTCATTGGCAAGCCAGCGCCCATCCCCCTGGTGAGCAACACCCAGCCAGCACTCCCAGGCACCTTCTGCGTTGCTTCGGCGCACGACATCCACCACCCTGCCAGCCTGTGCAAAAAACTCGACGAGGGCCTCCTCGGTGGCAGCAAAGGGGACGTTCCTCACAAATATCGTCTTGTGCTTGTCTTTGATGATGTCGGGCCGACCTGCGTGTGGTTGAACAGGTAGAGGGGGTCAGCTGGGAGGAGGGCTTTCATGTGTAAGGTAGGATAATCGGGACGCACGGCATGGGGAAAGTGATGTGTGGCTGGTCCTGCAGACCCCCTGGCAATCTCGCACATGCAAATCTCTGCTGCACCCACTTCCCCATCACCCCGGCACCTCATGCCAGAGCCCTGAGCTGGCTCAAGGAGCAGTGCTGTTCGTTTGCATGCCGCCACCCCCACTCGCCTAGACTGGGTGCTGCCATGATCTGCCGCGCCTTCTTCTGCTCCTGCCACCTCCAGTCCTGGGACCCGAGGTCGGTGCCGGGCCCCGCATCCCTCGCGGCCCTCTTCAGGCGCTTGGCCGCAGCTGCCTGGAAAGGGTTCCCCGTCGACCCGGGGGGTTGCACCTGGAGGGCCTCCGGGGTCATCTCCGCTGCGGGGGTCAAGGCCAGGGCGTGCAGCCACTTCTGCTTGGCCCCATTGCCGACCTGGGCGGGAGCGAGGCAGGCATGGGCAGTGGGAGCCTGGGAACAACGTTCTTCCAAACCTCCTATTTTCACCCCTCGCCGGCCTGATCCCGAGGACAAGCCTCCAAGAGCCACAGCCACCACCACCAGACACCTGGGCCAGTCCGATGAAGCGCGTGACATGCGCCCCGGCCCCCAGGTCCGCATTGAGGTAGGGTGGGCGAGCGAAGAAGGTGGGCTTGCCGGCGGCGACGTGGTATCGCGGCCGGGCCGTCATCGCCAGCTCAGCAATGACTGGCGAGCCTGCACGGAGAGAGTGCGAGGTGAGGAGAGGCTGCTTGAGTCTGGCTAGCCAGCTCGGCGCCCGCCCTGCTACAGGCATGGCACTGCGCCGTAGGCTGACCGTGAACCCCTGCTTATGAAACCTTAAAGCCAGCGGAATGTATTCCCACTGGGTGTAGAGTCGCCCTCTGGTCCTCCGCCAGACCCTCCTGCCGCAACTAATCATCACCTACCGTGCGAGTCTGGGGGCGCCACACCCTCTGGCAGCCCCTCAGCCAGGCCCTCTGGCCATTCATTGGTCAGCAGGACGTCGATGTCACCCTGCAAACTCAGGCTGTGCTGGAGGAGCTTGATGTCAGCCTCGGTGTAGTACCGAGCAGATCCGGAGTTGTCTGGCACCTCTCGGAAGGCAGCCGCATTGTGTGTCCCGTCCAGATAGGCCAGGGTGAGGCCCTTCACCTCCTTGACCCCGGCGCGGCCGAGGTAGTGGATGTTGCTCTCCGGCACGGCCGAGATGGCCTCCAGGACGGAGACCGCCCCCCCGCCCCAGCCACCCATGAAGTAGGTGGGCAGGGGCGCTGCCTTGCCTCCCGTCAGATACTCCAGCAGCGGACCCTGGTACTCTCCGTCATCTGGACCTGGCAGGGGAGTAGGCGAGGGGGGTGGGAGGGCGCGGCTCGAAGGTGAATGGGGGCCTGCACACGACAGTGTCGGCCTTCCGGGAGCCTACCTGCAGCACCGAAGAACTGGCCCACGCAGATCAGCAGGTCGAAGGGACCATTGGAGGCATTTACAGCGCTCGCACGCTTGAACAGGGCATCGATGCTGCCGTTGCAGGCACCGGCGAAGAGGGCTCTGACGGCCGGCATCGGGTTGCAGGTGGCAAGCTTGGTTTGCTAGTCCCTCATCCTTCCATGATCACAGACGACAGGAGGAGCAGCCGAGCAAGAGCACTGCAGATTATTTATCATATGTGCATGAGGCTGCCTGCCTGCCTCAGTCAGAAATGGGCGATGTTGCATCGCGAGAGCTCTGCTCCGCGCGCGCTGGCGAAAACAAAGAGGTGTACTCAAGCTTAGCATCAGGTTTTCACGGCGGATCTAACTCCCTGCTCTCACTCCGGTGCGCTCGGGATCGATCTCTGCCAGGGAACTCAAGACAGTGTCGCAGGTTTGGAGTCCCCTCAGCAGTATCCTGTGCCAGCCAGCGAGGGCAGGGACTGGGCGCGGGACATGGGCATGCTCCAGCCCTTCACACCTTGCACGGCCCTCCCCCAGCCTCAAGGGCGCTCGGTAGCCACCGGACCACCCCTGCCCACCTCACGTGCTCCTTCAGCCATGCCAGGGCCACCTCCGCGCAGGGCGTGGGCGGCCCCTGCCCCGCCTCCTCCCGCCGCAGGCCCTCCACCAGTACCGGGGTGGCGCCCGCCAGCTCGCGGTCCAGGGCGCCGCGCAGCCAGGTGAAGGCCCGCGCCTCCCCTGCGCGCGAGATGCCGCGGTCCTCCAGCGCCAGGTACGCGCCGGCGCGGCGCTCGGCCGGCGTCGCGGCGGCCAGGCGCAGCGCGCGCAGCAGGCCCCAGCTGGGCGCGCCCCCCCAGGCGATGCAGCGCTCGCCGGGCCCCAGCGCCAGCGCCGCGCCACGGGCGGCCACGCAGAAGCTGGCCGCCTCCAGCGGCGCGGCGTCGTGCGGGTTGTCGCGCAGCACGAAGCCGTACAGCTGCATCAGCTCGGCGTTGGTGTACCGCCCGTAGTCCAGGAAGACCTGGGCGCCGGCCGGCACGCCGAGCAGGCCCGCGGTGATGCGGTACGTCGCCGAGTCAGCGTCGTACCGCCCCGTCCCGCCGCTCCCTGGCCCGCCGGGCTTGGGCGGGGGCGGCTCGCGAGCGCGCCCCGCGGCGTCGCCCCCCGCCCCGCCCCGCGACGCCACAGACCCGGGGAGCAAGTCGACCAGGGAAGGGACCAAGGGGCCCGCCGGCGGCGCGTAGTTGTGCAAGTCGCCCAACGGGGTCAGCCCCCCAGGGTCGGGCCCGGGCCCCAGAGGCCCGCCGCCGGCGTGGCCGGGGTAGCCCGGCGGCAGGTACATAGTGCGCGTTCCCAGTGTGGCGGCTGCCCAGCGCCAGGCACCCAGCCGCCGCCAGCGATCGTCGGGGAAGGGCATCGCGCGCAGCGCGGGGAGCGCCGCGTGCCAGTCGCGCCGCGTGCGCTGCGCGGCCTCGGCCACGCGGCGGTGCACGGAGGGGGCGGGGGCGAGCGCGTCCAGGTCGGAGGCGGCGAAGTAGGGGCCGGAGGTGTAGCTGTGCGGCAGGGTCTGGAGGTAGGGCCACCAGGCCGAGCCCGCCTTCTTGGACGTCTCGAACAACACATGTATGGTCAGCACCTGGGTGTGAGGTTGTGGGAGGCAGCGGGATAAGGGAGTCCTAGGGCCGTGCAGCCAGCCGTGCAAGCACCTGGGTGGTCCCAGCGACGGGGTCGGGAGGGTGATGACCTCATCCATGGCATCCAACCCCTACCCCTGCAAGCAAACATTCCGGAGTTCACCTCCAACAGTCCCCCATCCCAGCGAGGAATGCAGTTCAACACACAGGAACGCCCCATTTCAACCCATGCACCCACTTGAAAGGGGGTCAAGGGGAGTGGCCCAGCGTTCACCACTGCGCTGACCGTGGGGCAGGCCAGTGCACTGGAGCATGTCATGAGGCAGGGGAAGGGGACCTCCAGGACGCAGGCCCCGGGAGCAATGTCCCGGGTGGCCACGATGCCTCGACCACCTTGGGCCACCTCCCCGGCCTCGATGTCACGGAGACGCCCGCCCCTGGACTCCAGCCACGAGATCAGCTGCGGTACCGCCTCCACCATTCCTTGCAGGTGGGTGCAGCAGACGGCCCGTGGGAGCGTCCACAGCCGACGCTTGCATGTCCACGTTAGACTTGTATTATTTGTGTGCACAGCAAAGGTTTAAAATCCCTTGTATGTTGCGTGCCCTCGTGTCGTAATTAGATAATATTGTAATATGGACGTGACGTCCCCATGAGAGGCGCGCGCGCGCTTCAAGACGTCCAAGGCAATGTCGTCCTGTGAGCAGTTTCAATAAAATGGTTACTCCGACCATGTAGATCGGTGTCCTTCGAACATTCAAACACCCAAGAGGTCGAATAAAACACAACAACCATGCTGATCCATGCTATTCGACGTGCCAGCCATATGTTGGTCACGGCGAGGGCGCCCGCGAGCGCAAGCCTGCGAAACCTCGCTATCACGGCAACCCCAGGGGACGACCAGCAGATGCGAGCGGTGAGAAGATTGTTCCAGAGTCCACTGAGCCATGGATTCGTGACATAGACCAGCTGGAGGAAGCATTGCTGACCGTTCTTGGCCTCCCATGTGTCTGGCAGGATGTGAACCGGCTACTCTACAGGAGTCGCCAGAGGGGCTGGTTGGAGCTGGATCTGCTCATGGTGAGTGGTCATGGAGCCATAGAGGCCACAGGCATGCAATTTTATGGGACTGGGTCTCGTGAGGCCTCCTAAGTTGGATCTACCTCAAGGTGTCTCGCATCCTCCACAACATTGACAAACACCCACAAACACCCCCACACCCTTCAACACCAGGGCATGTGGGCTGAGCAGAATGTCCCCACCATGACTGCAAAGCAACTAGAGGACTACAATGTTGTGCTGGATGAGGTAAGCATGACTACGGAAGATTCTGAAGGTGTTTGATGCAGACTGCAGACCGGTGTTTTCTCCCATCAGCAGCACCTCCGTCCATCTTGACTGCACTTTCCATCACGGTGCAACCCATAGGAGAACCCAGACCTGTTCAAGTGGCTGACGAACCAACTCCCCACGCCTGAGCATCTACGGAATAATTCGGCATACCAGGCAAGTGTACATGGATTGCTTGCGCTGGCGGGTACGGTTGAGAAGATGGATTGGGGCATCCTCAGCTTTACTAGTTCTTTTTGCCGTCCTGTTAGTTCAGCCTCTACTCTTATTCGTTTCCCGCCCTGCAGCTATTACACGCTAGCGTGCAACAGTCCATGGACAAGCACAGCGTCGTGAGCACCCGGGCAACGCAGGGGAAGGACTGGGTGAAAGGCTGGGACGATAACAAGAAGGGCGAGCTCACTGCAGAGCAAAAGTAATGGCTGCTTGGAGTGGGACACGAAGATCGAGGAGACTGCCACCAACTCCGACACACATGGTGGATCTCTTCGCTGTCATGATTTGGTAAACCGTTGAACGAATTGTAAGTGTGTCACTGCCAGGGTATGCTACAGATCGCCGCAAAGCATAGCAACGCATGGCCGCAGCACGGCCTCCCCAAACCACGGCTCGCTCGATCGCTTGTTTGAGAAGCAACACACATGCTTCAGTGCCTTGCCGTCGATAACTTGCCGTGAAAAGGGTGCCGACCTTCGCAGTTTTCATTGGGACGGCACCACCGCATACAATATACTAAGGTGACGCTCGCCCCGACTGGCGACGAGAGTGAAGGCTAGTCCTCTCAGGTGGCCCCGCCATGGCATTTCTGCAATGTAGAAGTGGCCTGATACTGGCGCGGCGAGGATGGGGACTGTCCGCTGGGTTCCTTGGAGTACCTGCTGCAAGGCTGGGGATGGCCACCGGCCCAAACTCCGAAGACATCGTAGAGGGCCTGGTTGTCAACGGTGAGGTGATACGATTAATTATTGTTTTGTCCTTGTCACGCTTTCGTCGTCTTTTGGAGGTGCAGCTGAGCCTCATCATAATGGCACCCCATCCCCAACAGAGGCTGGCCTGGCCAGCAATGAGCTTCCTGTCACAAAGGCCTTTAGGGACCTGATGCACAGGGTGGCAGGGTACAACGAGTCAGACCTCCTGCGCCAGCTGCAAGAGTCCCTGTCTGCGGATGCAAAGCCAGCGGGAGAGCAGAAACCCGATGGTGTGTGTATGTGAACAGTGCCATAGAGGCTGTGTCTCACAGTGCATGGAGAAATAGCTGCCTTCCCCAGCGCTGGACTCCCTTGGCTATTTTACCTTCAGTCGGATATCATACCCCAGTTGTGCGCGCTCCAGGGCGCACAATTCATGCCTCAATCTCCCCCTCCAAACACATGTCGCCCGCAGACCCTGCAAAGATTGAGGACAACCTCCGGCTGCTGTCAGAGACACTGAATGTCATGTTTGCCCTGCTGGAGGATGAGAACGTGCCCATTGCTGAGAACCTGTCCGACCTGGATCTGGCAGGCCTGGAGGCCCTGCGGGCGTCATTGAATGAGCGCTACTCGGGTGAGCCGCTGGACCGAGGTTCCATGGGGTGCTGGCTTTGGGCAGAGTGGGTGCATCGGGCTTGGATTGGGATGAAGAGTTTGCTCTTTGCCCTCCAGTAGTGCCCCCCGGCGCAACTAGATCAGACAAAACAAAGGTGTGATGGTCAGTATATCACCGCTCATGCCCTTCTACCTTCCCTTCGTCGTGTAGGTCCGAATGAGATGGTGGTGAACACTGCCCCTCCAGGCCAGCTCCCATGGGAGATCCTGGGCGTGGACGAGTCCAGAGGGGGTGAGCCCGGCGCAGGGCAGGCTGTTTCAGGGATGTGAGGTTGGGGTGCCCTGGTGTCGTAAGCTCGCGCTGCCAGGGCAGGGTTTCGAGGTGTCCCACGTCTGCAATGTCCGACTGTCCCTCCAACACACAAACAACTGCAGCCATCCACTGGGCGGCAGACCTGACGGACGGGCGGGCGGTGGCGCCGTGGAGGGCTGCCTCCCTCGCCTTTGCCACCAAGGTCCGCATGTACCAGCTCTACTGCGACGACCCGGTCAGGTGTGCTGCGAGACTGGCGGCGGGCGGCTATGAGAAGGGGGTAACGTTCAGGGGACCACGTCGTGGAGGTCGAGCTGTGCTGGTCACCTCTGGAAGCGCTGCTCGATTGCTCGGTGAAGCCTTGCACGCAGTGCACGAGCGACCTCCCTCTCCCTTGTCCCTCGTTGGGTCTTGCTGCCTCATCAATTCCTCTATATCGATCCCCCTGTGCCTGTTGTATGCCGCTGGACCCCAGGCTCCACCGTTGGCAATCTCCCTCTCCTGCTCATCCCACCGCAGGAACAGCCCCGCCGCGCTTGCGGCCCAGTTTGGCGTCCGTGAGCAGCGAGTGCACGCCATCCTCGCCCTCAAGGAGCTCGAGGCCAAGGCGCTGTCGGCCGCGCTACCGGAGGACGCGCGGGCTGCCCTACTCCGCGTTGCCGAGGTGCGGGGAGGGGTCCTGAGGGATGGGGGGGGTGGAGGGCAACTGCGTCCGAATGTTGCCTCGGATGGGGGTCATCGGGTGGTTGGATGTTGCTCAACCTGGGGCCACTGGGATTGCCGTCTCACTCCCACCCGCACCGCCAGTGCCCAAGCCCCTCCTCTTCCGGTCCGCATTCACTCAGGAGGACGCCGAGCTGGGGTCGGACGTGGGCGTGTCTGGCGAGGGCGAGCGGCACCACGTCATCCTGCCCTCCTATCCCAACTACGAGGAGATGGACCTCGCTGCCTTCAGCTCGCGCCTGGAGGCGCGGCTGGGCAAGCCCATGGCGGAGATCAGCGAGGCGGACCTGACCCCGGCCATTGCCAAGGAGGTGCTGGGCCTGGAGAGCAAGGAGGAGGTTGAGGCGCGGGTGCGTGGTGAAGGCTGTGTATGGGAGGACCGTGGCGTGGAGAGGAAGGCATGGAGAGGTGCCAGGGTGGGTTTGACTGTGCATGATGCCCGAGCACAACCATCAATCTGCCTGTGACCATTTTGTTTTCGCAGCTGGCGGCGGCGGAGGAGGCGACGCTGGTGGAGGAATTCACCTCGCGCCTGGCCTACAATCTGGGCAAGGTGGGTGGTGCCGCGGGAGTGTGGCTGCGACATGTTGGGAAGCAGGCTGTGGCTCACGAGTGAAGCCCAGGCCGGGTCGAGGACAGGATCGACGCCCTCTGTCGAAACGCGCTGGGCCCACCCCGCATCCATCCGCCAAGGAGTGCCTCACATCAATCCTGTGCCCCAAATCAACAGGAGGGCGCCGGTCTGCAGCGCAAGTCGCGGCGCACTCACTTCCCCCGCCGGCCGCCGACAGGCTGGAACCTGGTGGTCAAGCCCCTGGGTCAATCTGACGAGGAGCCCTACGTCGCCGAGGCGACCGGCGGGCGCCGGGAGCCCAACGCCGACGAGGCGTTGCTGCTCAAGCGCCAGACGCCCCGGCCGCGGCGTCGCATCCTTTGATCGTTTGCCTAGCCTTCCACTCCCCGAAATGAACCTCTTTGCGCTGGCCTGGCCTTGGCGAGGTCCATGGCTCTCAACCTGCTTCCATGGACAGTGCAGGCACGATGCGGTCCCCGCTGGAGCGTATGTCCTTGAGAGTGAGGGAAAATCTGTCACTCCTGCAGAGCACGCTCCGGCAATGAGAGGAGGGATCCCTGGGAGGAGCTACAGGGCCAGCCACCGGGCATGTGCCCTGATGACTAATGAGCAGCAGCTTCCAGGTCCAGCACCTCTTTTCGCCTGGGGTAGGGTTTAGAGTGATCCAGCACCAGTCAGCGAGCCGCATGATGCAGCTCATCAGACCTGCTCAGCCCCCAGCCGCCTCTTCCCTCCATCGCATCCCCAACTCAAAGGCAGGCGTCCTCGGTCCATACCATGCTTCTAGATGCCCGAGCTTCTGGAGCTGTTCCGGGGAAAGGACGGAACCAGCTGCCTGCGCCTTCTCCAGCTCCTCCGCTTGCCTCACTTTCTTCTTCAGGGCACGAAGGGCTGAGGTTGGGGCCGGGCCATCTGGCTGGGCACCCGGCTCCAGCGTGCAGGCTGCCAGCTGCTGCGCCACGTCTGAGGGGTTTGCTGCAGGGGTCTTCCCCTGCTCTGACTTGGCAGCCGCCTTGCCGGGGGCCTCCGTCACTCCTGCGGGCTTGCCGCCGTCTACCTTCTTCTCCTTCCGCTTGGCATTTTTGGTTGCTGCCTTGCTCTTCGGCTTTGGGGCGCCTGCAACTGCGATGCAGCAGGAGTGGGAACCGATCAGCATCGACGCCCGTGAGCTCGCCAGAATCGTGCAGTCCCAGTTGGTTGACACATCATTCGCCCACGCACCCTGACTAGTCTCGTCAAGACCTGGGCACTTGGGGACATTTTGTCTTGCCTGCGATCAGAGGATGGGGCAAGTAGGGTCAGGTGGCAAGCAAACTGCCCTGGTCGCAATATATCTTGGGCCCCGATGTGAGTGACGCATGCCCATGGAACAGCATCTTGCCTGTACTTGGCGCGGAACATAGGCAGGCTGCTCGTCCTGGGGGACGTACCCAGCCCTGACCCGGACCTCCTTGCGCAGCGTGCCGTCGGGCCGTCGGGAAGGGGGGATCACAGTGGCTCCCCCATCACCCATAATCGTTGCCTCTCAAGCTGCACGGCGCCTGAGACCTCGTGCGATCGCCTGCTGGGTGAGTGCAAATGTAGATTCCTGCTCAGCTTTGTCGGGGACACTCTCAAAGTATGTTTCGTTGTCCCATATCGAGGCTCGGTGGCAATACAAAGACAACGTGCTTAATGAAAAGCTGTAGGTGGTTCTCGATTCGATGGAAAGTAGACATAGAAATGGACTCTCGCATCGGCAGTCGCCATCGGTTTCATTATAAGGAACCGACACTCCTGCATCGTGTTCGAAACTGGAGTGCAGGCAACAGCGGGAAAACTGCCTTCAGCCAACATCCAGGCAGGAAGCTCCTGCTAGGTCGCCCAGAGCCCTTGTTCCAGCGAGCAATCGCTCTTGAATCTATGATGTTGTACAAGTTTGGCATAGAAGACCCCAAGACATGTTTATCAGCAAGCGTTGCCAGCACCCGTTATGCAGTCACGGATTTGCCAGCCTCGGCAGACAGCACGGCATCTGAGGAAGTCCGGGGCATGGGTTCCCCCAGAGCTCCAATTGGGAGCGTTTCTGCCTTCCCCTTCCCTCGTTTTACGTTCTTGAACCCTGCTAGCGGCTTCCGCATGTCAAACGCGTCCTCGCCGTCTGCATAGTACTGCGCCTCCCGGTCACAGAGGCTGGAGAAAGGTCCCGGGAGGAAGGATGGGTGATGAGCAAGGCGCAGCCTGCATTTGGCCTGTGCAGCGCCTCACTGCACGCCACCTGAGGCCTTGTGCCCCTTTTCGCCATAGGCGTGACCCTGGGGTGACACAGCAATCGATCTCCCAAGCCTGCACCGAGACTCCACTGACTGACACCCCCAGCAACAATCTGTCCCCGCGGAAGACACCACGCCACGTACTCGTATCCCAGGGTGTCCATGTAAAGATGCAGGGCGCCGCGGTTGGAGGCTCGCACATGGAGCGATGCATAGTGGGCCGCAAATGTGTCCTCCATCCCGGCATCTGCGCAAGCGATGGGGATGAGTTGGCCGGTTTCGCAAGGGGTAGCATGTATGGCAGAGAGTGGAGTGGCATCCAGATTCGAGTGCGGTGAATCACAGGCACCATACACTCACGTGCAGCCGTCATGAGCTTGGTGGCAAGACCCAGCTTGCGGTGGCTCCTGGCCACGGCTAGAGAGGTGATGTGGCCGTGCGTCTCTGACGCCTCCTCCTCACTGCAGAGGGTGGGGTGGAACAGGGGTTGGATTCTTCAAATGATTGCACCAGTGGGATGGTGGGCGGCTTCGATTGTGACACTTCAGCAGGGACCTGCCCCACCATGACCTACATTTTGGCTAGGACGTAGCCCACGATGGTGCCATCGTAGTCCTCAGCCACATACAGGAGCTGTGGCCACGATAGGGCATGGTAGAAGTAGTACTGTAGGGTGTGTGTGAAACGAGGTCGAGTGAGCGGGGGAGTGGAGCACAGAGTAGAGGCAGCCCCAGTCGCCACAGAGACACCACCCTGTACCAGCCCAGTACGGGGGCTTGAACTGGCCCATGGTACCATTCCCCACCTTGAGCTGGTAGTTCTCAGGCAAGCACATCAGGTTGCACCGCTGCATCTGCAGCAGGTCCGCGACCACAGCAGGCCGTATGCACACCATCACGGTGGTGGGAACGCGTGCTTCACAGCCAGCGGCTGACCTGTTTGCAGATTCCCTGGGGTTTCTTCGGCATACCAGTTTACTTGTGCATTCGCGTAAGGATGTTGACGGGGCAGGGAGTCGACCGCATGCTGTTTAGGCGGATCGCCGTCCCGTGGTCAGGAGCCACGTGGGTTCTTCTCCCAGCACCACCCCCTCTGGTCTACGCCTGCTCGGCAATCACAACAGGCACGGAGCACCACACTCGCAGGGGAGCCCGGTCACAGGCTGCAGCGCGTCAGGCCGCGGGGAGGACGACGCGCCCCACATGCGCCAGCTCCCAGATCTTGATCTCGGGGCCCAGCTTCACGATGCCGTCGCCGCCGTCTGTCCCCACCAGCTCGCCCACGCGGCCGGCCAGGTCGCCGCGCAGCAGCTGCGTCGTGTGGAGGGCAGGGGTGAGGGTGCATCGGCGAGGTGTGGTGGGCGGCGGGGCGCCAGGCAGTCGCACCCGGGGGGCACTGGGTGCACGGCCGCGCGGAGCGCTGCCTGAACAGCAGCCAAGCCCTTGCAATTCCCGAGTCTCCACCACCCCGCTGGGCTCCACCACTCGGCCCCCCCCACACCCTGCTCCACCCACCTTGACGGTGTCTGTCCGCGCCGGGGTCACGGCCTGCAAGTCCCTCACCGGCACCTCCACGCTCGCCTCCGCGCCCTCGTAACCCCAGGCGCCGCCGTCGCCCTGGCGCCCCGGCGCGACGCGCGCGAGCAGCCCCGCGGCTCCACCACTCCGGCCCCCCCACACCCTGCTCCACCCACCTTGACGGTGTCTGTCCGCGCCGGGGTCACGGCCTGCAAGTCCCTCACCGGCACCTCCACGCTCGCCTCCGCGCCCTCGTAACCCCAGGCGCCGCCGTCGCCCTGGCGCCCCGGCGCGACGCGCGCGAGCAGCCCCGCGGCATCCACCTCGTGCACCGCACCCCGCGCCTCGCCACCCGGCAGCAGCACCTCCACGCCCACCCAGTGCAGCGCGTCGCCGCGGGCCGCGTCCGCGCCCTCGGCGGCGACGGCGGCGCCGCCGAGGGCGCGCGGCGCGGCGCCGTAGTCGGCCGCCGGCACCGCCTCGTAGCTCAGCCCGGGCGTGGCCGCCAGGCCCGGGGTGAGGGCCGGGGCGGGCGAGAAGGGGCTGGGCGCCATGCCCGGCGTGGGCAGGTATGACCCCGGCGTGGGGGCCAGGTGCCCCGACCCCGGGGTGTCGATGTGGTACCGCATGCCCGGCGTGGGACCGCGACCGGGCGACCCTGTGCAGGGTTGGCATGGGGTGGTTGCGGTGTCGTGGGCATGGCGTCGAGGCCAGACTCTCGATGGACAGCGTGGCATCTCGGGCATGTGCATGGGTGCCCAACCCCGCCGGAAATGCATTGCAGCGGGTGCATGACCGGTGGCAGGCGACGCCATACTGCTCTCCTGCATCAGGATCGCGCCTGTGCCTGCAACTGCCTCCCACGCGATCCTGCTCCCTCTCCAAACCCCCTTCCTACAGGCCCCCCCCTCCACCCCACCCCCCCCACACACACACATACGCACAAACACTCTCGTCTCACCCGGGAGGTGGTAGGGCGAGGGGGCGGCAAAGCCCGGGTGCGCCGGCGTGGCTGCCCAGGCGGGGTCGTATGCCGGGGTCTTGGTCAGCGCCTCGCGCGAGGGCGTGGCGCTGGGGTGCAGGGGCGTGGCGCCCACGCTGGACCAGTGCGCGGGCGTGGCCCCCACGCCGTGGTGCGCAGGGGTCGCGCCGGGGTAGAACCCGCCCACGCCGCCGCCGCCGTCGCCGCCGCCGCGCACGCCGCCGTCCTCCAGCGCGACGTGCGCCCGGCTGACGGTGACAGTCTTCATCTGCGCCTCCAGCTCCATGCGCAGGTGGGCCGGGGTGGAGCTGACCACCCGCCCACGCATGCCGCGGTGGGGGCCCTGCCGTATGGTGATCACGCGCCCCTCCAGCAACCGGTCCGCGCCCGTGCTCACGCGGCCGGCGTAGGTGCCGGGGGCGCTGCCGCCGCCGGGCGTGCCGCCCCAGCCCGGGGGCCCGCCGCCGGACTGGCGCGCGGGCGAGGCCATGACGCCGCCGCCGGGCCCGCCGGGGCCGAGGCGCGCGGGCGTCGCCAGCGGGTTGCTGGTGCTGACCGGCTTGCGCCCGCCGCGCACGCGGCAGTGCCGCGCCTGGACGCAGACGTAGCCGCCGTGGTCGGGGATCTGGCGGCTCTGCAGGAACAGGAAGCCGCGCACGACGTAGCGTACCGTGCCGTTCTTTCCTCGCAGCGGGCCATCCACCACCTCCACGATGTCCCCCACCGCCACCTCGTTCCGGGCTGGGGGCGGGGGAGTGCGGAGTGGGGGAGCGGTTACGGGGCGGGGAGGCAATGACAACAACTGTGGGACACCACCTCTCGGAGTGAGGGGTGGTGGGTCCTGAACCGATGGCTTAGCACCGCTGTCTCGCTCCCCAGGAGGCACTCAGCCCAGCATACCCTTCTTCGAGCAGGATGTCGTGCTCCCCCCCCCCCCCCCCCCCTTTTCCACTCCCCAGGCTCCCCCCAACGCCCCTCGCCCCCCCTTCGCCACCACCACACACACGCACCTCCGTCCTGGGCCCCCGCCTTGCGGTTGTTCAGCTTGCGCTTGAGGTCGGGGAGGAGCGCCACACGCACGTCAGGCTTCTCCGGCCGCCCCTGGTTGGTCAGCACGCGGCAGGCGTCGCGCTCCACGCCCACGATCACGCCCACCGTGGTCGCGTCCAAGGCCACCAGGTCGTGCAGCTCGTAGCCGCCGATGCTGCGGCGAGGGGTTGATGGAGAGGGAGGCTGCTTGGTGGGTTGTCAAGCGGGGAGGGAGCTTCTGGGGTGTCCGACTTTGGGGTTCAAGAAGCAGTCGAGGCACGGCCTGGCGTGACTGTAAGGCTGGCAGGGTATTCGAACTTCAGCAAAAGCTCGGCAGAGACCCAAACTTCATAGGGTAGTCTGACCCCTTCTTCAGACCAGGACATCCCAAGCCCCAAAGAGGCGACCCCCGCCCCCCAAACCACCCCGCTCCGCACGTGTCGACGCTGCTGGTGACGGCCACAGCCTGGACCAGGTCCTTGACGAACACGCGGATCTCCTGGCGCGAGACGTCGGTGAAGATGGTGGCAATGGGGCCGGTCACCGTCACCACCATCCCCGTCTCGCCCATGTGCTGACCGTGCTCGACCTTGACGTGGCTGCCAGACTGCGCGCAGTTGCAGGGGGTTTTGTGTGTGTGGGGTTGGGAGATGATGAGGTCGGCGGTGTGGGGGGAGAAGGTGAACGACGCGGTGCCTTGCGAGGGACAACGAGGTGTGCTGAACCAGCTGCCACCATCTCTGAATGGTTCAGGGGTCAGGGCTTTGCCCGCCCAACCCCCTCCCCTCCACCCCAGCGCCACCCGGACCCAAGCAGAGGCCGGTCTGCAGCCACCGGCGACGCAAGAGCGGGCCGGTCCTTGCCCCTCCAGCCCTTGCACACCCACCTCAAAGTGTTTCTGGATCTCGCGCGGGTGCAGGCCGATGAGCTCGGTGAAGCCGGGGAGCTTGGAGTCGGTGGGCGCGACCATGAGCAGCCCGTCCTCGCCAAAGGCCTCTACGCGGCCCCGGATGCCCGCCAGGTCGCCTGGAGGATGAGTGTGTGGAGTACGGCAACAGGTGGAGGGGTCGTGGTGCTGCACAGATGCTCGGGCTCTGGCCCATCGGGCACGGGAAACATGCTGGGCGACGGGCGCCTACCCTGGGGTGATGCCCTGCCAGGCATGCCAAGCAGTACCCCACTCCCGACGGAACGATCCAGAGCTCCTCTCCACCGCAATCCCCACGACAAAGTGACACCCCGTCAACCACCCGGGCCCCCTCCCCCCACCCTGTACGACGAGGACGAGGTCGCCCTTGGCAAAGCGGGTGGGCGCGGCGCCGCCCTGCCCCTCCCCCTCAGTGGTCAGCGACTGCACGAGGCCGGCGAGGTCGGCGGCGCCGGCGCGGTCGCCCGCGCCGCCGCCACCGCCGCCCTGCGCCGCGGCCTGGAAGCGCTGGAGGTCGTCCAGTGGGGGCAGGCCATCCTCCAGGGCCAGGCCCTTGACCGCCACGCTCTTGATCAGGTATCCCTCGCTGAAGCGCTGGGAGCCGTTGAGCACATGCACCAGCTGGCCCGTGGTGCGGTCGCGCTGAGTCAGCACGTCCAGCGTCTTGTACTGCCGAGCCTGTTGTTGTTGTTGTTGTATTTTGGGGGGGGGTGATGTAATGGATGAGGGGATGGATGTTTGGGGGAGGGTTCTGAGGTGCTGGACAGGTGTATGGTTGGGTGTGATGATGGCAGCCGCGGGTCTTTCCCCATTCTGCTCTTCCGTCGCGGTGCACCCCTGCCTCTGCCACCCTCGTCAGGGCGGCACGCTGCGCATTCATGCAACCACACAGCCTGGTCCTTGATATACCCACAATACCACGCTGAACCCCCTACCCTCACGTCCCCCTCTTCCCCTTTCCCCAGTCTCACACACCTCATCGGGGCTGAAGGCCTTCGCGGCCGGCCGCACACGCGGCGCGCGGCCAAAGTTGGCACGCGCGTCCTCGGGCCGGCGCGCGGAGAGGGCGGCCAGGTCCAGGCGCGGGACCAGGCGCAGCGTGGCGCGCGCGCCCGAGGCGTCCAAGTCCACCACCTGCGCCAGGTCGCCCTTGTACAGCCCGGCCTTGGCGCGGACCCAGGAGCCGACGTCCACGCCGCGGGCCGCGGTCACCTGCACCGCCACCGCCGCCGTCATCTCGCCCAGGGGGACCATGCGCGGCTTCTTGGAGTTGAACACGGCGCGCATGCCACGCACCGCCTCCGCCACGTGCGCCTCCTTCACCGCCTCCACATACAGGTAGCCCTGGGGGTTGGGAAAGGGGGGAAAGGAGGAATGGGCAGGTGTCTCCTGCTGATGAAAGGGTACTGGACAACAAGACATGCCGCGGCAGGGTCTCATGCGCACGGCACACCCGCTGCATGTGCGGGCTGATGGCTGGCTGCGCGGGCTTGCGCACCGCAGCCACACCCACCTTGAGGTGGTCCTGGCAGAAGGCAGACTTGATGAGCAGGGAGCGCCCCTTTTGCGCCAGGTCATAGCACTTTTGCAGGAGGCCTGCGGGTGGCATGAGGGAGCGGTCACACCCAGTTCGGACACCGAGCGACGAGTCACTCGCGCCCTGTCTGGGTTTCCCAGCCCTCCAACCCACTCCCCTTCCGATCTCCAAGACTTACACACAACGACCTCGCGCTCCGCGCCCTCTGCACACCGCACCACCCAGAGCTTGGGATCCGAAGGCTTGGGCAGCAGGGCCTGCTGCGCCACCGCGCCAAAGTCCTCCGTCCCCGCCCCGCCAGTGCCGGGGTAGTGTGACTGGCCGCCGTACCGGTCCTTCAGGTAGGCCTGCAGCTCCTCCGGATTCATCTCCTCGTCCTTGGCCGCCTGCATCTCCGCCTCGCGCCTGGTGGTACAGAGCGAAGAAAGGGAGAATGGTGTGGGAGTTGCCTTGCATGCAGTTCAGGATTCAGGTGATGGCTGGATGCACAGCGCTTGAGCGCGCTCGTCGATCATGCGAACCATCGCTCCACAGAGGGTGAGGAAGTCACCCGCAGCGGAGTCCAGCGCCCATGGCACCAGACCCCCTTCCCAGGGGCCTCACATCTGGCGGCGCATGGCAATCATGTCAGCGGCGTCGTGCACGTGTTCACCCGCGTCGTCGATGAGGTCATCCAGGCCCTCCTCCTGATGCCGGTGAGGGTGGGAAGAGGGTCTTGCGTGCGCATATCATGGCCCAACAATGCACATGCGGACCCTATGAGAGACCAGGCCGGCACCGATGCCACCCACCTCCAGCTCGTCGTCCTCGTCGTCGTCATCCACCTCGGCAATGTCATCAATGAAGCGACTCCTGGGGAGGGACGATTCAATCAAGGCGGTAGTTGGGTGAAGGCTATCACTGCGCACCCTACACCCAGCACCGCGCCATGCCTAGCTAGGACTTGACTAATCCAAGTGCCATACAAGTGAGACCCAACAGACCTCTTCTGTTGCCTGGAGGCTTCCTCATCCTGCGCCAGACCAGTGGGAGCTTGTCAAGGAACGTGTTGGGAGAGCAGGCCATCCAAACCCACCCACCCACCCACCCACCCCCCACAACATCCACCACGACAGAGCACACCAGCGATCCCGCCCCAATCACCTCTTCGTCGTCTTCATCCGCCACATCATCGATGAAGGCCGCGGCCTTGCCCCTCTTCCGCGCAGCGCTCCTGTGGCGCCCGAGGCCATCCTCCTCCTCGTCTTCCTCGTCCTCTTCAGCCTCAGGCTCCTGTGCATGGATGAGGAGACAGACAGACTTTACTGGCACCATAGCACGGTCTGAAACTTCATTGCCAAGCCAGAGGCTCCCCAGCCGCACCTCCTCCTCCTCCTCTTCCTCCACATCCTCCTCCTCTCTGTCCTCTGCCAGAGGACGCCTTCCCGAGGCCATGTCAATTGGCTTGACCCTATCCTCGACTTCCTTCCGACGGATGTCAAACGCCTATTGTCGTCCTGCACCGTCTGCGGTTTCGAGTGCAAGAAGTGCTCTTGTATGAAATCCGGGTTGTCGCGATGCTCGATACTCGGTCAGGGCGCCCCAGTTCTGGGGAGCTGCAACCCTGAACCCATAAACCTCCCCTGTGGACACACTTTCTGCACTCTCGACTGAGTGACTTTCCACATTTTAATCCTCACAGTGCAAACTACAGCGTGTGATGATCGATCTCAAGGGATCTCCTTATGGATGCAGTGCTAATTGTAAAACAATCTCTCACTCCAACTAAGCAGTTTTAGTGATCCCCGTTCAGAGCATATTAAAAAAGACACTGCAAAATACAGGAATCTTGGTAACTGATTTGTGAAAAGGCTTGTTTGGAGTATGCCATGGTCATCATTTCCCAGGGAAGTCGGCATGCAAGGCCTCGTGAGCCAGCCCCCAAAGAGGCTTTTATTGAAGAAACTTCCCTACATGTGCTGCACACAGGAAGGATACTTGCGTATATATTCAATGCAATCAAAGCCATCAAAGTCTTCCACATGCAGTATATCTCTGTTCGTTCCTCTCGGATCTCCATATAGTTTCGAACGCGGGAAAGCTGTCGAGGAATGGTATCACAGAGCTCGGAATGATGGTATTCCCCGCTGGGACCATCGCCCCTGGTATAACCTGTCCACACACTCTTCTTTGCCCAATGTATTCATTATAGCGCGACTGGCCGTCCCGAGTATGCCCATCGGAGATCTTTGAAATTCAAGTCCCTCGAACATGGCACGGAAGCGAGTGGCCCCAGCTCCCACCGAGGCCTCGGATGACGCGTCCTCGCGCTCCCAAGTGACCTTGCGCGATGCCGGAAAATTGTTATGCGACATTCGCGACAAGTCGAAAGACGTGATCCTCAAAACACTCAAGGTGTCGCTGGGACTCATGAACGCAGCTTGTGGGCATGCATTCGGCTGAAAGGAGTGCCGCTCGCGTCCAGGACCCGTGCGAAAAATACGTGAAAACCATTCGCACCGTGTCTGTCCCACAGCAAGCGGAGATGGCGTTGAGCTCCTCGCAGCAGGCCGACCCGGCGGTGTGTACCGCCTCGGCAGACCTTTGCCATGCCCTGTCCTCCGACGCCCTCCTCAGACACTCGAGCACGGTGAGTCCACCAGGTGTGACCATGACTTGAGAATAGGCCTCGATGAAGAGCCTCTCATATTCACCCCACCCTCATCACCTCCGCCACAGGAGGTCCAGCTCTACACGGCATGCTGCCTCTGCCACCTACTGAAGCTTCACGCCCCAGAGTGCCCATACGACAATGCGACGCTCAAGGTGGGGACAGGCGGGTGGTGATCTTGATGCAAGCTGCAGCTGGGACGGTGATCCTCCCATACTCACTGCCGCCCTCGCTCAGAGCCTTGCCAAAAACCACATGCAGCGCGTCTTCCTCCTCTTCAGTCAAGTGCTCGGTGGGCTTGCGGACCCGGCATCGCCCCTCTTCTCCAAGCACCTGCTCCTCCTGGACACCCTGCACGAGGTGGGGGGCCAGGGCGTGAATCGATTTCTGGATCCCTTGCAAGAAAGAAGACTGGCGTGATGTTGGATCTTGCAAGCTATCGCCTGTGCTGCTCCTGAGGGGACGAAAGCCCCCTGGCTATGACCTCAAGACCCTCTGACGTCCTCGTGCTTTCCAGTTCAAATGCTGCGTGCTGGCGATGGACCTGGACCTGGACCTGCCCGAGGTCCAGCGCGACGAGGTCCTCTGCACCTTCATCAGTTCCCTCCTTTCCAGCATCAAGTGGGTAGCAGAGAACAGGGGGGGGGAAGTGGGGGTTGATGAGATGTGATTCAGGGCAGGCCGCTTGAAGTCCCCTCCTTCTCTGGCCCGCGGCATACCCGATCCAAGCTCCACGCCCCCCTTTCCCCCCTCACCCCGCAGCGACTCCAACGAGGCGCAGGTGTTCCCCAGCATGCTGGGCATGCTGTGCACCTTTGCCGACCAGGCCGACCTCATCAACCTGCGCCTACTGGAGGCGCTGCTCAAGCCCCTGCTGCGCCCCGCACCCGGCGCCGCGGGGCGGCTGCTGGTGCAGCTGCTGGGCCTCAAGCTGGCCCAGCTGGCGCCCAGCATCCAGGATCAAATGGCAGAGTCCATGGCAGGGCGCACCGAGGCCGGGGTGTTTGGGACTTACTGCATGGAGCTCCTGTACCAGGTACAGAAGCTCGAGGGAGGTGTTGGTAACCAGGAGGTGTTGAGGGAGAGTTTGAACGTAGCCAATCCGGTGCTTGTCAGGGACGGCGAAGGGCGGCCGCGAGTGCAGGTGGTGCCACTAGCAGCAGCAGCGGCTCCCGCCCCGTGTCTCCCGCCGTTTTCCACTTCCTCCCCCGCCGCCCCCCCCCCTCCCCCAAACACACTCCACATAATACATGCAGGTGCACTGCCGCGTCCCCCGGATCACCACACCCCTGCCTCCCCACCCTGGCGGACGTGCTGGCCACCTCGGCGGATGAGGCGCGGCGCGGGGCGGCGACCGATGTGGCGGCCCGCCCGCTCCGCCTCCAGGAGGAGAGCCG